TCCCTTTACTAGTCTCATATGTTTCTTCCTCTCCCCTCAGGGAGTTTCCTCCTGCACATGCTTGTATCATTACACACTCTACAGAATACTGGTGGGGAACTCCGTGCAGTTCCCTTCCAGGCCTGTTCTCTCCTCTCCAGGACTACACCCTGTGAACTCAAATGGTCCTGCCTTCTGTGCACTCCTCGCTCCTTCTCAGTTTAAGGAAGATGAGGTCTGCTCAGTCTCTGCTCCTTGCACTGAAGCCTAGAACCTCTACAGGCAGTCAGCCGAGGCTCACCCTTCTCTGCTTCTCTTCTCAAGGGTCACCATCCTTTATTGCCTGCTATGCATTGCTTCAAGACTGTTGTGTCATACATTTTAGCTCATTTTACAAATTTGTACAGACAATTTAATTTGATCCCTATTACTCCATTTTAAGCAGAAGTGTAAGTGGCCAAAAATTTTTAGTTGTTTTTATTCTACAACTTTTACCATTCTCTTTTCTGCAATAATACTTTTGACAATAATACTTTAAGAGATGTTTAAGAATCTTATTATAAATTGGGTATAATTACAAGATTAATCAGATATAGGAACAACCAGGCTAGAGCAGTTAAGCTGGTACATGGAAAACTGAAAGAGGATCTAACCATTATCTCTTTTGACAGGATGAGGAGGGCTTTCTTTTAGGAGATGAAGACCTCCCAGGTAGGGGGAAAGTTAGATACTAGGCCACCCAAGAATCACAAGAGTCTACCATGACCACATTCTCTGATAATCAAGTAAATTTAATATGCAGTCACATAACACATGAAATATAATGTATATAGCTAGTATATTAAAAAGAGATTTTATTGAGTTTGGGATGTAAAATCAGTGGTTGAGCACTTGCCTAACACTAGTTTAATTCCCGTGGCATCCAAAAGAATAAAAAATAAAAAGTTTCTCTAGAAATTGGTGTTATGCTTCTGTCAACAAACCAAAAAGGGAACAAGACTGTGCCAGTTCATGGGGCTAGGGATATAGCTCAGTTGGTAGAGTGCTTGCCTCAAATGCACAAAGGCCATGGGTTCAATCCCTAGCACGCACACACACACACACACACAAAAAAAAAAGAGTATGCCATAACATATGACTAATATCCTTCAGAAGCATTGGATTGTGTGGTCAGACTGTTTAGTTCTATGATGAATTTACAAACCCTCATTCAAATCAGCCATGTCATCTGGCATTCCTGCTACCACTGCATGAGCATTCCTGTTCTTCCACATCCCCACCAGTATTTGGTGTTGTCAATGTTTTAGGTTTTAGCTACTCTAATTGATATCTAGTGGCATCCCATTATTGTTTTAACTAACAATTCCCTGATGAATTTGAGAATCTTGTATATTTATGTGCCATATGTAATGCAATTGGTGAGGTATCTGTTTATATCTTTTGCCCATTAGTTTTATTGCTTTTTTCTTACTGTTGAATTCAAGAGCTCTTTGATATTCAGGATACACATCCCTTATCAGGTATGAGTTTTGCAAATATTTCTTCCAACCCTGTGACTTCTCTTTGCATTCTTTTAACAGCCAATACATTTGAAAGTTCTCACTCATCTTCAAAGCCCTCAGAAAAGCTCATAGACCCAAGGCAGACATGGTGTATAACTGACTGATTTTTAAGTAGTCAACACTACACAGGACTGAGGGTGGAGATGGTTGTGGGGAATGACAGCTGTGGAGAAAGCAGACATCCAGGAGTCAACACTGCCAATTTTTATTCCTGGAAGCCCACCAAATTACATCAACCTTTGACGCTCTCTTCTGCTCCTCAATCTTTGAGAAGCATTCAAAGGAATCTTCAGCTTCTCTTCAAACCTGCTATATCAGTGGCGAGCAAGGTCCCTTGTCCTTAGATCTGAGAGGCCCGAGCCTTGGATGTCTCCATGACACCTGTAACCCACAGGGTCACACACTGATCCTTGCTTCTCCCCAAAGCTGCTCTTGCTCTCAGGACCCCATTTCAAGGTTCACCTCATCCAGGAACCCTGAACCTCTGAGCCTCTCCCTGATGCCCCCACCACTACAGTCCAGCCTCATGACCCATCCAGGCAGTGTCCGCTGACCTGCCTCTCAGCCTTACGCTGGTCGAGCCCTGCCCTTGTTCTACACCTCTCATCCTGGCCTAGCCTCCTCCTTGGGTATCCAACTGTAGTCACATGCCGTCACCTTACCCCCATTTATTTCGCCAATAACTAAAGAGTCAGGCTCTGTCCTGGACAATGAGGACAGAGTGGCAACCTAGGTAAGCATAATGGATGAGAAAGAGGTAGGTCCCTAAAAAGGTAATACAGTAGAACAAAATGGAAACTTTAGTGCCTTAAGAGCTGAAGGCTCTGGTTTCACACATTGGTACACAGCAGCTCTGCTTACTGGCATTTAACCAGAGAGGCTTGAGGTGGCCGTCAGGTAGCTATAACAAGATGACCACATTTGCAGAAGCAGAAAACAAAATAACTGGGACAAAAGAACCAACCCCCACCCCGCCCAGGCTTAATGCAGTGGAAGTCACCAAGCAGTATGAGCTGAAATTCCCTAGTCTTTTGACAAGCTTGTACCCACATAAGGAACCTAAGGTGCATCCTCCAGTAGAATTGCACCAATCCACTGCCTCGATTTGCCCCAAACCTGCTTATGTATAAACCATAAGCCCTACTGCACTTGGGGCCAGACTTTGGGAATTAGCCCTCTGAGCCATGCCCACTAATAAAGTGCTGCTTCCAGATCTCGCTGTGTCCTGCCCTCCTTTCCCACTACATAACCATTTGCCAGAATCCCAAAATCCTGTGTTCCTCTCTGCTCTGGACCTCGCGCCAGCTCCCACTGAACTGCCACATCTCTGCTCTAGGCTTCTGCGCCCTCCAGAACGCCCAGAGCTCTATCTGTCGCAAAATGACCCACCCCTGCTGCTCATTTTCTACCATCCCTACCTAGGGAAGCGCCCACCTCCCCCACTGAACGGTGAGTTCCTGACGGTGGGGACCAGGGCGGTCTTGGTCACCGCGCAGCACAGGGTCAGCTCCTGGAACACTAATGACTCGGGGAGCAAAGGCTAGGACCTGAAAGGCTGCGTAGCGCGGGGAGGTTGGGGCCACGCTCTCTGCTCTACCTGCGCTCAGCCTTGGGACTCGCTGCTTCTGAAACTCGGGAGCAGTGAGTGCCGGGTCCTCTGCGAATGCCAGCCCCGTTTCTCCAGGACCTGAAGAGGGCACTGAGGACCCTCTGCCTCTTCACCAACAGCTGGCGGTGAGCGGAGCGGACGGGAGGCCAGCGGGCGCCAGCGCCTCCCTCAGTGGGGCCCACACGGGAGCACTGGGCTCTGCGGGACCAGCGGGACCGCCCTCGAGCCCGCGGCTCAGGACTCTCGGTCCTCCGGGCCCCGCGCGCCTAGCTGCTGGCGCACTCGTGACGTCAGAGGAGGGCGCCACGCTCGAAAGAGGGGGCGGGAGGAGGCGGCCGGGGCCAGGCGCTGTCAGAGAGCTGAAGAAGGACAGGAGAGGCAGGTCTCCTAGGAATAGCAGGAAGCAGGTTTATTGGCTGCAGCCAGGTTCGAAGGTTTTTATTTTTATTTTTATTTTTTTGCCTCCGTCAAAGCACCCCTTTGAAATTTGAGTTCAGAAAGTTTTAAAACTTTATATCCAATGTGTAAGGGGAGGAGCTCAGAGGCTCACAATCTGTAGAAGTTCACGTAAAAGCAGCTTTTTCACTGTTCTGGGTACCCAATTCAAATCAAGGACACTCCGAAAATTAGTGTCTGGGAAAGGGAGAGTCCTTCTCCCCTTTCTTTCCACTGGCTGGCTCTGCAGGATCTGACAGTAGTCCTTTGAGATGCAAACGCCTCTGTGTAGGCTCCAGACCCCAGCTGAAGACCTTGAGTCCACTCTGTCTCTGCAAACACACCCTCCACCTGAAAACTCTGTTGTAGAAATTCTTACTGATACTATAAGAACAATTATGTTAAACAGAACTTTTGAAGCTTAGCTATGGCAGGGGTCTTCTGGGTGGAGGTCTCTGGCCTGATTCAGAGCTAGTGCAGGAAGCGTGGGAACTGGGTTGCTAGGCAGCCAAAGAATCCATGCTGCCCAGGTGAATCTGGTGGGCATAGGGTCTCCCCGTTCTGCAGAGAGTCACTGACAGGACCCCACAGCTCACTGAGGGTTCTCACCCTCACCCAGCACCACATTACTGGGGCTTCCCGATCTTGGCAGTATTAAGTTCAAGAAGAGCATCCCAGATTTCAGGGACAACAGCAGATACTGACTCCTTGCCCACTCCTTGGCAATAACCACCACATTGGAAACTAAATCTATAGGAGTGATGACCCTGTCTGGTCATCAGAACACTTCAGGGCAGACCACCTCTCACCTCATCTCTAGAAGTAACTGGAGAAATGGAGCACCCCATTTGGAATGAGGATGCCCCCATACTTAGTGAGAAACTCACCCTCTCTGTGACTAAGAAGGGCCTTCCTTCCCCCAGAAGTGAGAATTCCTTAGCAAAGACTTTCCCTACCACCATCACCCTAGCAATAAGCATCATTCATCTGGGTTGTGCCCCAGACATAGCCTTACACCCTGTCGCCACAGGCTGTATCTGGGCAAGGGGCTGATATCTGGGCCTACATCTTGCAGCATGTGCATAGTCAGAGGTGAGCCAGTGGGATCAGGGGAGGATGCCAGGAAGAGGGCACAGACAAGTCTCACAGTAACTCCTCTTTCTCTACTTCTCCACTATAATAGTGTCAAGAAGATCCGGGGAAATTTACTGTGATAAGTGCTTCTCAATGCTGTCCCATCCTATCTTCTCCAGTCCTATCTGGCCTTGTCCCCACCCACAGCCTCACACTGATACTCTAAGAACAATTATGTTAAACAGAATTTTTGAATTTATGACAACGGTCTTCTGGGTGGAGGTCTCTGGCCTGATACTTCCTGCCTCACACTTCCTGCCCTCCTTCTGCAAGCCCCACACATATCCTAACTCTGGCATGGTTTCTTCAGGTATGGCCACCAGGACAGTCCAGAGGTGAGAAGCCTATGCTGTAAGATTCCCTTTCACCCAAGAAAGAACTTGTACATCTTATGCTCTAGGCCCTGCTTGGTGCTGGATATGCTGTGGTGGTGGTGGTGGGGGGGGGGGCAGGAATCAGCTGGTGCAATAGCACAGTTGAATGTTTGTCCCATCAAACCTGGTGAGGGGAGAAGTAGTATGGACCAGATTTGGAAGAGATGCAAAGGCCAGTTTGTGATCCAATTGGTGCAAGGAACCCAGATGACATCCATGGGAGGCTTTGAGGAGACCTCAGGACTCCTTGGTGTGGGGCCCAGGGAAAATCTCACCACTGAGATGGAAATGTATCACTAACACAGAAAAAAAAAAACTGCAGGAAGGATAAGAGAAACAATCTCAGGAGAAAAGGGGGAGCCAGAGAGTACACCAGTGCTTCTGCATCAGACAAGGAAGCTGCACAGGAAAACCCTTAACCACTCCCCTGGCAGATAAGGAGTCTGGTGCCTCCTAAAAGGTAGTGAGGCCAGGCTAAGCCACACTCAGAGGAGCATCTGACTCTATACCTGATCTCACCAGGTCAGCCGGAAGTTGGAGCTGGAAGCTGCAGTGGCACGCCTGCGCACAGAGATCCAAGAGTTAGACCAGAGCCTGGAGCTGATAGAGCAAGAGGCTGAGGCTCAAGGTGACCCATGGGGCCAGGAAGGTGGGCATTGTAATGCTGGGTGGGAAAAGTGCTGACCCCTGTGTCTCCCACAGACCTGGCTGTGGAGCAGATGCTGCAGAGCACACGGGACACCCAATATCGAGCTCTCCTCCTCCGGGCCCAAACTGGAAACCTGCGAAGACAGCAGCATGGACTGCGAGTCCCCACATAGCAGCTGCAGAATCAGCTCAGGTGCCTACAGGACATAGAGAGGTGGGCCTCATCTGCCCAAGAGACCAGATGTCACCAGGTGGCCACACATTTACCTCTGAGATCCCAATGTTCTTACCTGATCCTTACTGGATTCCGGAATTCTGCACAACCAACCCTAGGATTTAAGGCCCATAAGCCCAGTTAGTTTTGCACCATCTCTTGGGTAACAACAATAGACATAGGATAGGCCCCTGTTTATGCTCCTGGACCTTATGCTCTGATGCAGAGAAGGCTGACTGCAAACTAGGAAACAGATCCTGTCATTTTGGGGAGAAATAAGTTCAATGAAGAAAAGACTGTGTGACCAAGGGAAAGGTGTTTGCTACCTGAGCTAGGATGCTCAGGACAGGCCTCTCTGAGGAGGTAACCTGGGTTGGGGCACAAATATTCATAGAGAGGGAACAGCCAGGCTCCAATCTTGGCCTTCAGGAAGAGCTGCCAAGAGGCAAATACAGCTCAGTATTTGAAGACAGGAGGGACTAGATGAAGGGTGAGATAGGAGAAGCAGTCAGAGGGCCCTGGAGGCATAGGAGTTTTACTGGTAGATGGAATTCATGCCCCACCTTGGCCATTTATAACTGTGTGAGCTTAGGCAAGGGACTTAACTTCTTTGTACCTCAATTTCTAAAAGCTATCTATGCTAAGCCTCAGGCTAGCATCATTCTGAATGGAGAAAAATTGAAGGCATTCCCTCTAAAATCTAGAACAAGACAGGGATGCCCTCTCTCACCACTTCTATTCAATATAGTTCTCAAAATACTGGCCAGAGCAATTAGACAGACGAAAGAAATTAAAGGCATAAAGATAGGAAAAGAAGAACTTAAATTATCACTATTTGCGGATGACATGATCCTATACCTAGCAGACCCAAAAGGTTCTACAAAGAAACTACTAGAGCTAATAAATGAATTCAGCAAAGTGGCAGGATATAAAATCAACATGCATAAGTCAAAGGCATCACTGTATATCAGCGACAAATCTTCTGAAAAGGAAATGAGGACAACCACCCCATTTACAATATCCTCAAAAAAAAAATAAAATACTTGGGAATCAACCTAACAAAAGAGGTGAAAGATTTATACAATGAAAACTACAGAACCCTAAAGAAAGAAATAGAAGAAGATCTTAGAAGATGGAAAAATATACCCTGTTCATGGATAGGCAGAACTAACATCATCAAAATGGCAATATTACCAAAAGTTCTCTATAGGTTTAATGCAATGCCAATCAAAATCCCAAAGGCATTTCTTATAGAAATATATAAAGCAATCATGAAATTCATCTGGAAAAATAAAAGACCCAGAATAGCAAAAGCAATTCTAAGCAGGAAGAGTGAAACAGGCAGTATAGCAATACCAGACTTCAAACTATACTATAGAGCAATAGTAACAAAAACATCATGGTACTGGTACCAAAACAGGCGAGTGGACCAATGGTACAGAATAGAGGACACAGAGACCAATCCACAAAATTACAACTATCTTATATTTGACAAAGGTGCTAAAAGCATGCAATGGAGAAAAGATAGCATCTTCAACAAATGGTGCTGGGAAAACTGGAAATCCATATGCAACAAAATGAATCTGAATCCCTTTCTCTCACCATGAACAAAAGTTAAGGATCAAGGAGCTTGATATCAAAACAGAGACTGAGTCTGATAGAAGAAAAAGTTGGCTCTGATCTACATATTGTGGGGTCGGGCTCCAAATTCCTTAATAGGACACCCATAGCACAAGAGTTAAAAACAAGAATCAACAAATGGGACTTACTCAAACTAAAAAGTTTTTTCTCAGCAAGAGAAATAATAAGAGAGGTAAATAGGGAGCCTACATTCTGGGAACAAATTTTTACTCCTCACACTTCAGATAGAGCCCTAATATCCAGAGTATACAAAGAACTCAAAAAGTTAAACAATAAGAAAACAACCCAATCAACAAATGGGCCAAGGACCTGAACAGACACTTCTCAGAGGAGGACATACAATCAATCAACAAGTACATGAAAAAATGCTCACCATCTCTAGCAGTCAGAGAAATGCAAATTAAAACCACCCTAAGATACCATCTCACTCCAGTAAGATTGGCAGCCATTATGAAGTCAAACAATAACAAGTGCTGGCGAGGATGTGGGGAAAAGGTGGGACTGCAAATTGGTGTGGCCAATTTGGAAAGCAGTATGGAGATACCTCGGAAAGCTGGGAATGGAACCACCATTTGACCCAGCTATCCCCCTTCTCGGTCTATTCCCCAAAGACCTTAAAAGAGTGTATTATAGGGATACAGCTACATCCATGTTCATAGCAACACAATTCACAATAGCTAGACTGTGGAACCAACCTAGATGCCCTTCGATAGATGAATGGATAAAAAAAATGTGGCATTTATACACAATGGAGTATTACTCAGCACTAAAAAATGACAAAATCATGGCATTTGCAGGGAAATGGATGGCATTAGAGCAGATTATGCTAAGTGAAGCCAGCCAATCCCTAAAAAACAAATGCCAAATGTCTTCTTTGATATAAGGAGGGCAACAAAGAACAGAACAGGGAGGAAGAGCATGAGAAGATCACCATTAAACAGGGACGAGAGGGGGAGGGAAAGGGAGAGAGAAGGGAAATTGCATGGAAATGGAAGGAGACCCTCATTGTTGCACAAAATTACATATAAGAGGAAGTGAAGGGAAAGGGAAAAAAAACAAGAGAGAAAAATGAATTACAGTAGATGGGGTAGAGAGAGAAGATGGGAGGGGAGGGGAGGGGAAGGGGGATAGTAGAGGATAGGAAGGGCATCAAAATATAACATACACTAGTATGGCAGTATGTAAATAAGTGGAAGTGTAACCGATGTGATTCTGCAATCTGTATACGGGGTAAAAATGGGAGTTCATAATCCACTTGAATAAAATGTATGAAATATGATATGTCAAGAGCTTTGTAATGTTTTGAACAACTAATAATAAAAAAAAGAAAGACATTGAAAAAAATAAATAAATCTAAAGAAAGATATTGTGTCATCTACAACTTTTTTAAAAAAATTTTTAAAAGAAGCAGAAAGTGATAGTCACAGCTATTGGGGTTGGGGAAGCCTGGGAGGCTCAAAGTAACCAGAAGAGACCCTTTCCCAGCTAAGGAAGCAGGGAGGTGAGGGGTTCTCTGACACGGAGGCTTAGTTGGGGTCACGAAGGCATCCCAGGTTTAGCACGCATGTAAAAGCCCCAAGGGTTGTAAACTGTAGAATTAAGGATCTCCAGTCTAGCATGCCTACATGGGCTCAGTTTCCTCATATGTAAAATGGGGACAATGACAGTCCCTACTTTAGTGGGGTGGTAATAATTACAGGGGTATTTGATTTGTCTTATAACATTCTCTATCCCTTTACCCACCCCAACAGAAGCTCTTAGGATGACCACCTCTGTTCCTGATCGTGTCCCCTCCCAAGGGTGATATCCGGGCAGCCTGCACCCTCCGGGCCCAGTTCCTGCAGAACCTCCTGATTCCCAGTCAGGGAAGCACACAACCTGTGAATGTTCCCAGGAACCAGGAACCCTGCAAAAAATTTGGATTTGGGGCAGAATTCACTTCTTTATTGCTTATTCACATGAGGAATTCTGGGCTATGAGGCCCAGGCCCTGCCATAACTGGGCTCCCAAGCGGGGCCCCATTAGACAGGGACAGCCAGGTGTCAGGGCCATTGAGTTTGGGGAAGCCTGAGTGGTTCAGTGCAGCCAAAGAAGGTCCCCCTTACACGGCTAAGGAAGCAAGTAGGGAAGGGGTTCTCTGGTGAGATGGTTTAGCCAAGGTTGGAGAAGATGAAGCCTATTATACGTCCATTTTGAAGGTGAAAGCGCAGAATCCTGTATTGACCAACCACGTGAGTGCATAAGGCCATTATACCAATCAGCTTCTAGGCTTGAGCGTCATTACACCTCGAATCAGCCAATGGAAGTAGAAATATGGGATAGGAGGCGGGTCTTCTTGGTCTCCAGGCAATCCTTGGTGACTCCTGTGAACCTCTGTGTAGTCCTAGCAATACCAGAGCCACCTGCCCTACTGGTCATGTTTAAGGTGAGAAGAGAGGAGGGGTAGAGGGGGAATGATGGGGCAGGAGTTTGTTACAAGTGGATAGAAAACTATTTGGAGATTTAGGAGAACAGGGAGGCTGTTCAAAGTGGATGGAGAAGAAGTTGAAAAGATTAGGAAGCTGGTGGAGGTAGGAAGAAGGTGTCAGAAGGACACGGGGCACTAATTTGTAAGGGGACAAAGAAGAAACTATGGAGAAAAAGGAAAAAGGAAGCTGGGCTCGGTGGCTCACACTTGTAATCCCAGCGACTTAGGAGGTTGAGGCAGGAGGATGGCCAGGTCAAAACTAACCTCAGCAACTTAGTGAGACCCTATATCAAAATGAAAAATATAAAGAGCTGCAGATGTGACTCCATAGTGAATTGCCCCTGGGTTCAATCCCCAGTTCAAAAAAAAAAAATGGCAGGGGACGGGGGAGGGTGGTAGAGTAGTCAAAAAAAAAAAATCTTAGAGGAGCCACCTGAGAGTTTGGATGGGGCAACTGAGTAGTTTATGAGTGAACAGTAAAGGGTTAGAGCAGGACCAATGAATGATCCATAGGGAAAAGTGGGGCAGATTATAATTGAATTTGGAGAGCATTATTTTATAGTGTGAGATGTTTAGAAGAAAATTTATAATGAAGATTTGTCAGATTAAAAGTGATAATATGAGGATATTATTCATGTGTGTTTTAAAAGGGAAAAGAGGAAGCTGCTTTGGGGTCAATGGCAGCATTATAGGAACAGAATGCTATAAAGAGCTGGGCATGGTGGTGCTAGCCTGTAATCTCATTGGCTCAGGAGGCTGAGGCAGAAAGATCTCACTTTCAAAGCCAGCCTCAGCAAAAATGAGGTGCTAAGCATCTCAATGAGACCCTGTCTCTAAATGAAATTCAAAAAATAGGGCAGAGGATGTGGCTCAGTGGTTGAGTGCCCCTGAGTTCAATCCCTGGTCCCCCCCCCAAAATGGTAAAAGGTATCAATTGATGTTTGGGGGAGAAAGACTCATCAGAAACAGGGATTTGGGTTGGGGGACAGTAGAAGGTGACAAATAGAAACAATGGATAGAATCTTAAAAGTGATTGTGGAGAACTCGGAGGAAGTGTTAGGACCCAGGAAAATAGGTTACAGAGAGAGAGACTAATTATAGGACCAGAAGGTGGGAAGTAGGGCATGTATAGTTGTTAAACAAGCATAGAGAGAAGTTAGAGAGGACATAGTGGGCATTTCAGGGAGTCAATGAGAAGTTTAAAGGGAGTCAATGAAGATTTTATAGGAACCAAGAAGAAATGCATTAGGGTAAAAAGGGAGGGAATGGGAAGGAATGGCAGACTCCAGAAGCCATACTCACCCAACCCACTCTCTGCCCACCAGGTAGTTGAATAAATGGCTCATCAAAGCAGTGATGAGAGCTCAGAAAATGAAGCAGCCAGCGACCACTTTTGCTTAGCACTCATAGCCCTCCTCTGCTGCTGCCCACTAGGCCTTCCATCAATAATCTGTTCTTACTGGGTGGGAATCTGCATGATGCCAATCCTCATCCTCCCTCTCCCTCTTGGCCCTGACCCTCTCTCAGCTTCTTCCCTGTTCTCCCTCCTGTGCCGGGGAACCTGAGCTATGGTTTAGACCCCACTCTGGGTCCTTACAGTCCCATAGATCACCCACTTCAAGTACCCTTTCATACTCATCATTTCCTGTTCCCTCTCCTCTGAAACTCAGACGATACGCTACAATCAAGCCAGAGAATATGACAAGGCATCCAAGACCTCTATTATAACCCTCTGCTTGGCCATCATAGGCATTTTTCTGTCCGTATTACCATTCATCGTTTTTCTCTTCATATCATTGCTGATAAGGTGACCTCATTCTTGCCTCAGGAACAAACCACCAAATACATGCAACAATGTAACTAAACACTGTGTTTTAGTCAGCTTTTTTGTCACTGTGAGCTAAAGATCCAATAAGAACCCACAGAAGAGGGGTTCCTGGTTTCACAGGTCTCAGTCTGAAAATGGCCAAATCTATTGCTCTGGGCCCATGGTGACAGGAAAGAGTGTGGCAAGAGGAAGCAGAGAGAGGGCTCTGTTCACCAGGGACCCCAGAGACCTATCTCCTGGAGACACACCCTTCCTGCCTGCAGTTACCAGCCAGTTAATCAGCGCACTGTTGGCTAAGGCTCTCATAACTCGAGCATTTCACCTCAGCGTCTTTCACATGAGTTTCGGGGGACACGTCACATCTATCTATACCATAACAACCTGGCAGCAAATCCCTATTTATGATGAATGGGCGCCAGTGCCTCCCTCAGTGGGGCCCACGCGGGAGCACTGGGCGCTGCGGGACCAGCGGGACCGCTCTCCAGCCGGCGGCTCGGGCTTTCCGGCCCCGGGGGCCTAGCTGCCGGCGCACTCGTGACGTCAGAGGAGGGCGCCACTCTTGAAAGAATGGGCCGGAGGCGGCGGTCGCGGCTGGGCGCTGTCATGGAGCTAGTTCCGCAAGCGCGGGAACTCGGTTGCTGGGCGGCCGAAGAGATGCGGGTGCCCGCGGCGTCCCGGGCCCCGGAGTCCACCCTGCGCAGGTGAGTCGGGCGGGCCGTTGGGTCTTCCGGTTCTTCAGAGAGTCGCCACCGGGGAGGACCCAACAGCTGAGTCCGCCAGCTCCTTCCTATCGTGGCAGTGTTAAGTTCTAGTAGAGCATCTTGTATATGAGGGACAGGCCCTGATCGTGATCCCACATTCCCACCCCACCCCTTAGCAATAACCACCACAATGGACTGAATCTGTAGGAGTGAGGACCCTGTCTAGTCATGAGAGCTCTTCAGGGCCGACCAAATTTATCCTCCTCTGGAAGTTACTGGAATGAGGATGCCCCCATACTTAGTGATAAATCACCCTTTCTGTGACTAAGAAGGGCCTTCCTTCCCCCAGAAGTAAGAACTCCTTAGCAAAGACTTTCCCTTTCACCATCACCCTAGCTATAAGCATCCTTCACCTGGGTTGTGCCCCAGACATAACTTACACCCTGTCCCCACAGGCTGTGTCTGGGCCAGGGGGCTGACATCTGGGCCTACATCTTGCAGCATGTGCATAGTCAGAGGTGAGCCAGTGGGATCAGGGGAGGGTGCCAGGAAGAGGGCACAGACAAGTCTCACAGTAACTCCTCTTCCTCCACTTCTCCACTATAGCACTGTCAAGAAGATCCGGGGAAACTTACTGTGGTAAGTGATTCTCAATGCTGTCCCATCCTATCTTCTCCAATCCCATCTGGCCTTGTCCCCACCCACAGCCTCACACTTCCTGTCCTTCCCTCTGCAAGCCCCACACATATCCTAATTCTGGTATGGTTTCTTCAGGTATGGCCACCAGGACAGTCCAGAGGTGAGAAGCCTATGCTGTAAGATTCCCTTTCACCCAAGAAAGAACTTGTACATCTTCTGCTCTAGGCCCTGCTTGGTGCTGGATATGTTGGGGTCACTGGGTCACAAAACAGCCCTAATATCTGCATTCCTAGGCTTACAGTCCAGGGGAAGCCAGAAATGAACTGGTGCAAAGGCACAGTTGAAGGTTTTCCGCATCAAACTGATAAGGGGAGAAGTAGCATGGGCCAGATTTGGAAGAGATGCAAAGGCCAGTTTGTGATCCAGTTAG